AAGCAAGGCTTGTAGCTTCTTCCAAAAATTGTGCATCCCCCCATTTTTCTGATAAAAAATTGCCTATCCCCCCTTTTTCCTACCAAAATTTTCCCGATGCCCCCTCAATTTCACCTGCCCCCTCCCTGCCATACATTATGAACGCAGCCTAATATAAAGAATCCTCGCGCCCCATCATGAGCACTTTTTAATGCTATTTTTAGGGCACGGCTAACTCACAGATTGAACCCTGAAACAACCTCTTTCTGATCTAAGTCAGGGCACGCCTAACTCACAGATAGAACCCTGAAACGAACTCTGGGCTGATCTAAGTCAGGGCATGGCTAACTCACAGATTGAACCCTGAAACAACCTCTGGGCTGATCTAAGTCGGGACATGGCTAACTCACAGATCTAATTGGAATTTAGGTTGTTAGGTATTACGAAGGGAAGAAAATTCTGATTGTTTTGATTACTTCTCTATTCAGCCGGGCAGCGGACAGTGTCTACCATGTGGCGCTAACACCTTAAGTTTACCAACCCGGGATGGCTGTACCAACAACGAATGTCAGTTTTCACCAGCCAAAGACGTAGACTACGATTTCACCGAGCTCTCACGAGAAGACGGGCCTATGTTTGAAGTGTTGGCTTACCAACAACGACGTAATCCCGCAAGCAGGCGTATTTCCAGCTCAGGAAGAGGGACACCAGGAAGACCTGGAGGGCGGACCAGTTTGCGCAGACTAAGCGCCTATTCTATTTGGCCCCCTTATAGACGACGATATTACGTCAATTTATGCACAGTGAAGCACGAGAATACTACATGTACGTTCCTTAACACCAAGACAGGCGTGAAGGAAAGCCTGCCCGTCATGGGCTGTCGAACAAGTTGGTGGAGCCAACGGGATACTAGCATTGGGCGAGTCATTGGATTCAAGCCAAAAGCCGAAGACGTGCGTTCAGGAGTGATGGTTGAACTGTTACATGGAGATAGATGTTACTCTGGTAAGTCTAAGAAGCTTTTCTTTTTACGAGTTTTTGAAGTACGAGTAGCGTGAGATGCTCCCCGTAGTTACCGTTGCTATGTCCCACAAGCTCAACAAATTAGCAAGAATATCTCAGAATTTAAAACTCTGATCGGGAAAGTTGATTGTAATTATTTCATATTGTTTTCTGTCCTTTGAAAATAAAATCCAAATTGTCTCCTAATCCTTGTAGCACTCTTTATAACAGACTGATACTCTGTAGTTGTTTGTGGGACAAGATTTTAATAGACCAATTCGGCTAAGGCAATGTTTTATCCAATTCAAATCTACTGCGTAAACTTTAATTTCTTCGTCTATTATATTTACATTTCATTTCCATATCAATGCTTCATTTTCATGTAAATATAATGGATAAAGAAAAAAATTCCCAGTAGATATGAATAGTCCCCTTCACAGTTCCCTGCGCCATCTTGAAAGGTAGCCGTTCCTTTGCATCGAAGCGAGACGAACGGTGAGCTTGCAATGATAGAGACCTTTTTTAACACCTTGGACAATTATTCACATGTATCTATCATTGCAAGCTCACCGTTCGTCTCGCTTCGATGCAAAGGCACGGCTACCTTTCAAGATGGCGCAGAGAACTGTGAAGGGGACTATAGACCTTTCCCGAATTCCCTTGACTGGTCACAAAACAATGGTTTCAAGTCGAGGTTGAACTTGATGAATAAAAGAATCAAGTCCAGTCTCGACTTCAATCCATTGTTTCGTGGTCAGTCAAGCGAATTCGGGATAGGTCTATTGGGTTAAACATTGCGTTAGCTGAAATGGTATATTCCACTGGGAAAACTGATGCTTTGGTAATTGGTTCGCTATCGTCTGAGGGGAACCATCAATCGGTCTAGCTGTCCAGTGCGAGTACAGGTACTTGTTGGTTGTCTCCTGTTCTTTGTTTGTTCTTCTAGTTCTCCTGTTGTCGTTGTTATCTTTTTTGATTAATAACTCAAAAACTGTAAGTTGAAAGGTTTTCACAATTTTAAAGATTTTTCGTCATCAAATGCTAAAGTGATTGGCTAAAAAGGAACGAATAGCGCAGCGCAACCGTGACGTCATAAAAATGAAGACAAAGGCSAAAGTCGGACAAACAAACTTACAAGTTTACTTTCAGCAGATAATTTTCACAGCCGATCGCAGTTGATCTTAGTTTACATGGGTTATTATTGTAACTTTAAGTAAAAATAATAAAATCGGTTCGTATAATCCTCGTAGTGGTTAAACAGAATGCAATGTTTGTCCGAATCTTTAAGCTATTTTTAGAATCAGTGCGCTGCGCTATTCGATGCTATGGAAAACAATTTATCTAGCAAAATTAAAATTTCGCATTATTTAATATTCTTAGTTCCAGTCATATAAACTAGATAACCCAATAAATTCAGATTATACGAAGTTTTAAAAAAAACGTGGAAAACAAGAGTTAAAATTTTTAATGAAAAAAATACGTGTTGTCATGGTTACGTTATACGTGATCAGTTTCATAAACAGCCGGATTAATCTTCAACTCATTAACTGTTACATAGTTGGTCTATTTTGGTATCAACGTGTTAGTCTGAACTACCTTAGAGCTGTTTCCAATTGTTTGGTATTGCCTCAAATAAACCCTATGAAGCCACCTTCAAGTTCTATATCGAGACTGCTTTAATTGGTCTATAGAGGCTTTGCATCCCATTACGTGATGGCAGCCATTACAGGAGGAACGAACAATTGAATCTGGTTTAATCTAATTTACATGAGAAACAATTCAGTTTCCCAAGGGAGAACGACTCTATCGTCATGCCTCCTGTCATGGCTGCCATCACGTGATGGTGCAAAGCCTCTATTCTGTAACTGTGTCCCTGTCATCATCAATGTCATGATGAAGGTAATGAAAATTGAAATTCCCACCTTTCCTTTCTAGGGAGAGGAAGCCAAAGTAAATATAGCACAACGATAGATCTTCAGTGTGACGTCGAAGCTGGAGTTGGCAGCCCAGGACCTGAGAGTAACTATACCCAGGTCCTACGGCGATGTAACTACTACTTTGTATGGAGATCACTCTACGCATGCCCAAAGTGCAGAAAACAAGACTTTGAGAAAGTCCAGCACCAGTGCGTGGATGGGGTTGCAAACGTGACGATCTCGAGGAAGGTGCCATGTTGGGGGATGGTGGGTGATTTAGAAGCAGGCGTTACTAATGTATCCTGTGCGACTTCTATCACATCCAAGTTAGTCAAAGTGCAGTCTACTGTCAATAAAGTCCTCATCGGGGTGGGAGTGGTCGTAATCATCGCTCTCATCGTCATTGCTGGCTACTTTTTCTACAAGCACAGAGACATAAGGTATAAATATTACAGCGCACTTGCAAGGAATAAACCAATGAGTAAGCTGGAGGAGGAAGAGGAAGATTATGGTAACGTGGAAGGAGATATGTTCCATGAATCACGCAATATTGTACGTGGTTGATACCTGTTTGCGTGACTGACAAAACCTACTGCGCACAAACCACAAAACATCTCTTATTTAAAAACTAGTCTTTATTTTCAAAGTTAGGGCGATTCTTTCCGTTTTACTTTCTTATTTTAACGTGCTTCTTCCAAGAAACTTTAAGTCCCTAATATTGATTGCGGAAAGCGTTTTAACCGATTTTTTTCCCGATCCAACATGTCGTTAGTGTCCGACGCCTGTCCGAGAATTTCCGAGTATGCGCAGTAATTTTTATATCTACGTCGTTCAGGTTGATATTCGTAATAAGGTCATCGTCGCCACATTGGTCTGTTGTCATGCACACCATCATGGCTGCAATTTCTTTTCTCGACAACTATACACTCATTGAAAAAAGATTTTTAGTCATTTCTAATCAACTTTTTAAAAAACGTCATCTTGTAGTAAAAGCACTAGTTTTTCATTAAGTAGCAAGTTATTTTGATTCAAACGGTCCGTTTCGCTTGACGCCATAACGTCTTGCATTAAGACCACTTGACTGAGGACTTTTGCGACATTGAATATGGATAAAGTTATTCTTTATGAACTGCTGTATAAATTCCATTTTTCTAACTTTGGCCTCTCTAAGCATTCGGACATTTTAGCTGTTTTTTATCCTTCGGGCAGACAGTCCACAAAGAGTCGTTCATTGATAGAACAGAAGCCACACTACCACACAAAATGACTTGGTCTTCCTTGTCGAAGTAGAGTCGCACCTTTCATAGATGTAAAAGTTTTAGTTATCAACTTTTCAATTTTCTTAGAAATCTCGTTTATTACTTGTTACTTTAAGGATTTTATTGTTTTTATTATGTAAGTTTAGTTTTATTAGTTCCGGAGTTGCATAACGCATTGCATCATGGAGTTGTTTTAGAGGAGGCTTTAGCTTATATCTGGCCGTCTTTTTCGCTTGTTGATAGTGAAATGAAGGAAAAGGGGCAGGAAGCTTTAATTATCATTTCAATTTTCAAATTTCTTTCATTTTTTGAAACATCCTACCTATATATAGGTCTCAAAGTCTTGATCTGATTGGCTTTCTAATAGCCAATCAGAACAGGACTAGTAAAAGTACAATRAATGTGTTTTAAATTATATTTAGTATTATCATTTTAGCTATTTTATAATTAAGTTAAAACCTATTTTATCTGGAAGTTCCTCGCATAAAGCCCTATGTGCCATTTAGGTGCGAGGAGGACAGGTACAGGTCCTCGCATCCGAACAAAACATGGGCCGGTTCAAGTCAAGATTTTGGGAGATACCACAAAAGTGGAATAACCTCTATTCTCATTGGCGTGAATCGGCCTTGCAGGTTTTTCTAGAACCAGGTGATCTCGGGAAACGCGCACAAGGGATTGTTGTAATTGATCAGGCGGTCCCAATTTCAGTCGTCTATCGGCAAACAAAGAGCTATCATTTCACAATAATTTCATAAAAGATTTGAAACCACAAGCACCATTTGACCCATAGGTATTAGTTCTAAGAACAGGTAGAATTTTAAATGCATTGCTAGTCAATAACGTAGCTAGGAAAGCAAAGTTTCAAAGTTATTTTCTCTGACTGCAGCCGCCATGTTTCCCCCCGGTAGATTCGATGGACCGCCTGATCAGAGTTCTTTCTGCGAGCTGATTGGCTGGTTTTTGATGGGCTGTCAAAACGAGATCAGATCAGGGCCAGGCCCAGCTCAGTATCGCCCGTACAAAGCTACGCTTGGATTGGGAACAAAACTGACGAAATTAGTCTTCCAGATGAATGTATTTATTAGTCTAATTTAATAGCAAAGCTAAAGAATGTAAAATGATCAAGTAACTTTCTAATGTAATAAAGTTCGTATGTATTTAGCGTGTCATTGAAGTTAAGTGTATAGTTGTAAAGAGATGCTTCTGAGGTGGGAACCGAAGTTTTAGGAGAATTGTCAAAAGCGCGCAGACGAAAAAAATATTGGTAGATTCAAATACATATTCATGTTTGCCTTCTATCAGAGTGGTTTATTATTTATGTTGCATCCTTTCTATTCTCTACTTTCACATCCCCATAATGCCTTATGTCTTTCGGGGTAACCAATCAAAAAACTGTCCCAAATTGTAAGGTTTCTTAATTGAACTTATACTATACCTGCTTTTATCTTCACAATACTGTTCATCAGTTTATTCCAAGTTATTTTTGCGTGTACAGATCATCAAGTGTTTGGGTCTTACAGAAAATGTATTGACTTACGAAAAAATGTTTAAAATTTACCTTGAACGTCTTCAAGCTTCTATCTTTTTCTGTTTTTTTACTTCTTCATTTTATTTTTGGGTACCAAAGAAGGTATTGTCAACATTGTCTGATCAGCCTTCAGCAAAATAAAGGGGTTTTTACCCTCAGGTTACCCCCAAAGACGCAAAGTATTATGGGGATGTGAAAGTAGARAATTTCCAAAGATCTTGAAAGTTTATTTAGCCCCAGTCTCTATGGGTTTCCTGTGGTTTGCGAACGCTTGCCTGTGGTTTACGTTACATAAGCTGTAAATCAGATCCGCCAAAACAAGTCTCTACTTTTGACTACTTTCGAGAAAGTGCGTTACACACCACAGGCAACCCATAAGAAGCCAAACACTAACGGTGATTGACTTGAATCAGTAATCGCCTATCGATTTTGCAGCGCGGATCTAATTACAGCAAAGGGAAGCGATCATAAACCACAGGAAACCCATAAAGACCTAAGTTACTTTTCTAAAAGAAGCAATCAAAATATAGCCATATGAGCGTTAGAGGCTCACGAATACCTTTTCGCATTTCATAGAAGATTTTGTTTTTAATCTAAATACAGCAAATGCTCTTTCGCGGGCTAAATTCAAATAAAATTACCACACAGAGCGAAAGAAGTGCTATTTCTCAATGATCAGGTAAAATTTCGAGGCTTTATTTCACGTTTCAATGATTTTATTGAAATTTTTGATGCCCAAGCTTGGGCTACCTGTGGTTCGTTCTGCGTTTTAGCATATGCCCACTCAAACGACAGTAAGTGTACTTTACTCAGCTAGAATTTACTGAAACCGAAAAATTTCGATCTTGTTTCCAAAGTAAGATTATTGATCAAGGTTCCCCGGTATCAAATGCTTTCTCATTTTTCAGTACTAGAGGTCGAACACTAAGATGCAGAACATTGACGAAAGTAACGATGATTATGCAACGTACTTGAAGAAGGTGAAGGCTATTTATCGTGAACGAGTTAATCCAAAAAATAGGCAGGAAAGACTGATTAAGTTTGAAGATCGCCTCGACAAGTCAGACCTAACTCGAGAAATTATCATCAAGCACGCCCCTGGTAAGTTGTTTTGCGACAATTTTGAGATTCAGTTCATGGCAGTGGATTGGATCTAGCAACGGTATAGTTAGGAAAGACTTGCAAGTAAACCCAATTTGTAAACCCTTTAGAATTTTTTTTATGATAGATGATGGGTAACATTATTATTTTGATGATTATCGTTATTGAAAAATTGAAATGTTTGCAATATAAACATGATTTTCATCTTTCGTGATTTGGCTTTCTTGATTTGCCCCTGGAATACCAAGATGGCCGACTACCCATGCATTTCAAATACTGATTATAAGCTCAATCAATCGGCTCGTATCTAAAATTTCTTTAACAAGATCTTTGGCTGAGATATTGGTTATATATTTTTTCATTGAGCGCTAACTTTTTCATTAAATATTTGCGCAGCTGTATCTCAGAAGGATAAACTGCTCCAAAACGTTTAGACACTCGCGGGTCAATCATGTCTAAAACAATGACTTCTTTATTTTGGTTTAATTTCTTGGACTTCCGGTATAACAGCGCATGCGTTCAAATACTTGCCAAAAATTTAAAATATTTTTTCCCCCAATTTGTAATTCGTGCTATAATTTTTAATTTGATTTTGAGTTCGATTTAATTTTTACTTCGCTTATTTTGACCGTTTATATCTCACTTTCCGAAAATTGCGCATACGCCAAAATATGGATTATGCCAGAGCCCTAGTTCTTCGCCGCAGGCCAGAAGAAACGAAGGCTCTGGGTACGAGATTGCTGTCCAAGATACGAGTGAAAAACGTCTGCGCATGCTCTGAATCCTTATGCAAGTTAGTCAAATCATATGTAAATTTGACTTTCAAACATGCCGGATAAATTAGACTTCACAAAATACCAAAACTTAGTGTCCTTGCTTGAAACTTAAGGCTAATTCTTTCATATTGTGTTATTTAATACAGTATCGTGGTCTGACAAAAGTATACTCGCGAAAGTTTTTGTGTAGAGCGTTTTCACGTGACGTCACAACGGCCATTATGGGGTACCAAAACAATACATTTTCTATCCTCCGGGAATTGAACTCTATTTTTATGCAAATACTGTGCAGAAAGTTTCTGTTGTTTATAGCTGCCTTCACGCTGTATACTTGGAGAAAACAAACATTTATTTTCTCACTCGAACTCTTCAAAATTCTTAGAAAACTGCTGAAATGCACGCATGTGCAAACGTTTTTCTCTAGTGTCGCTGTCCACACTAATACGATTAGTCTCCTACGCAGCCGCTATAAGTGTCGTCACGTCACGCTCACTCCCCTACTTAGGAGGGGAGTGAGTGTTGCGTGACGACACTAATAGTGGCTGCGTAGGAGACTATAATACGATAGGCTAACGTTTTTAAATTTCTTCACTCTGGAGAGCATTTCCAAATATGTGCGCGTTTTGATCGTTTTAGTGTGGAGGCAAGGGCAAAAGGCACAATCGAGCAAGGTACACTGTAACGGTCATGTTCCTTTCAAGAGCCCTATTAAATATTATAGATACCACTGCATTCTACGCCCCTAACATGTGTTAATTAAATATTGCTGAATAGGCAAGTATATGATGCAATGGCGTGGACTCTGCCTCATCAAATACCCAATTGACCTCGGTATTTACCAACTGATGCTCCAAGAAATCAAACCTCCCACTATTATTGAGATTGGAACGTTCAATGGAGGCGGAGCTGTTTGGATGGCGGATATCATGAAGATCCATGGCCACAAAACGCATGTTTATTCTATGGACATTGACCTATCGTACTTGGAAGTGGGGCTCAACGACAGGGACGATATTACCTTTATTCATGGCGATTCTTTCAAGATAAGTGAGGCGTTCCCAGAAGACATGTTGAAGGTAGATGTATATATGCTAATTACCTTATTCGCTGAGGAGCAAGTTCAAAACTATGGTCCAAAATATGGACCCGATTTCATTGATGTACGCCGGTAGGTACCGGTAAATACCCCTCCCTGAAATGCTCTGGATAAACTAGTTGAAATCCTTAAAAGAAAGATCCCGCGTAGCACTATATACAACGTTGTTTATCATACATGCAAGCAGAAAATACATTGAATTCTGCTCTCTGACTTTTAATTTTGGATGATATTTGAGAACAAAAGCGAAAACAAAACAAATGAAGAAATGAAGAAATAGATTTCACTTGCAAGAGTGGTTGGTACACGATGACCCAACCACTCCCCTCTAAATCAGGTCCCTTAAAGATCATTCTAAATTTCTCCAAAAAATCAAGTCATAACCAGATTAAAAACATTTTTAGAACATTAATGTTTCTTGTACATGATTTGAATTGTTAGTATTCTTTTAAGTCGATACAAGATTTAGCAATTAATGTTACTGAGTATTTTTTTTCTTCTTTACATCACGTAGAATCTGCCACACCCCTGGCTTTTGATCGAGGATGCCCACGTGAATATAACAAACGTCTTGGAATATTTCGATAAATATACCCAGGCTGGGGATTACATCGTGGTAGAGGACACACATCCTGATATCCAAACTCGTCTTGGGTTTGGTTTACTGAAAGACCTCGGTGAATATGAAGCAATAGGAACCACTTGGAGCATGGATCCGTTCAAAGAGTTCGTAAAGAAACACGGAAATAAATATCGCGTGGATCCTGCCTATTCCGATTTGAACGGGTAAGTAAAAATATGTACCATTTCCATTGGTAGATATAAAACCTTCTCTCGTCTTATAAAAGGGATCGGGTTCTCGTCTTCCCTCTTAGGGTTTGAAATCATGCAGGGTTTTGTTCCCGCTTAGGGTGATAACGACGGGAATGCGCACCAACTGAATTTTGTGGTCCCTTTTAGGGTATAAGATCTACAAAAAGGCAAGCGATTTGTATATATTTTTATTTTTTATTTTTATTTTATAAGCTTCGCCACAAGGGCAGGGAAACTCCACAGAGCAGAGCTCCACTACGGGCACCCAAATATGGCGTCGTCGTCATAAACTCGTTAGAACAGACGCTGTTTGATGCAAATAAAATCGAGAAACCGTACAAAATAATGCGTTATTAATTGGTCCCTCTTAGGGCCGGTGAAATTTCATCACTGCCACGCCTATCATCCCAAAATACAGGTCCCTTTTAGGGGTAATTTTCGGAATTTCCGACGAGGACCCCCGCCCCCTTTTATAAGGGAGTCCCCCCCC